ACAGGTCAGGGAAGCAGCATTCCAGAGTCATGGCCTGAAGGGGCTGTCACAGAAACGGTGTCAGAATTAGAGTTAGCTGCACAGAATGGACAACTCCATAGCAGTGGCTTGTAAACACAAGGGTTTATATGTGCTTCTGTCATAGGAAGTCCTAAGGTGGGTGCCCCAATCTGGTGAGGAGGCTGCATGGTGCCATTGGGGCTTCATCTCTTCCCAGGATCAGAGCACAGGGCCTTTATCTCCAAGGGTACCTCTTCACCCAAGGTGGCTGCTGGGGCTCCAGCCATCACCAGGTCTACAGAAAGAAGGAGGGGTGCACCTCTGGCTCAGCCATTTCCTGTGAGGAGCCTTCTCAGGAACCCCTCCCACAACACAAACATTGCTCATGTCACTTTGACCAGACCTTGTCTCATGGCCCCATCTAGCTGTCTGGAAAGCAGGAAATACCGTCTTTATCCTGGGGATAGGTGCCCAGCTACCATCAGCCCTGTGTCCCAGCAAGAGGGAGAACGGGTCAGTGTACAGCAGGGCCACTCCAAAGGGGCCTCCACACAGAGCTGTCTGGGATGGGGGACATGGCATCCTGGGGTTGTCGCCTGCCTGCGGGGGATGGGGCCGTGGAATGGACAAGCCCCCCGTGCTCCTGTGTGCCTCAGTCCTGCGTCCTCCCCTCATGTGACAGTCCCTGCATCGCTGAGAATGACCTGCTTGAGCCCTCCATGCACCCCCCGCTGTCACCCCTCCTGCCCACCCCTGGTGCCCCAGGCCGCATGTGCAGCCTCGCCCTCCCCGTGTAAATGCCACCTCCTCCAGGAAGCCTCGCATGCACCCACATGTGGCTGGGGAAGGTCCCTCTGAGATAAGTGACCCTTCACAGAGCCGAGTGACCCAGGACAGGGACCCATGGACTCCACACTGGGCCCTAGGTGCCACCCTGGGATGGGGACCTGATGGATCAGGCCGGCTGACCAGGAGCGAGGGGCCTGTGGCCCAGGGAGGAGGGCGGAGGGATGGGAGAGGCACAGGCAGCCGGATGGACAGATGGACACTGCTGCCCCCAAAAGGCGGCCGTGGAAGAGCCCTGTGCTGCTGGGTGGAGAGGGGACTGTGGGGATGAGCATGATGGCCTGGGCTGGCCGGGAGCAGGAGGAAAGGGGTGGGTCCTGGGGTGGGGAGGAGAGGGCGAGGGCACCCGGGCCTTCCAGGGTTTGCTCTGAAGTGACCGGCACCGTAGCCGGTCCGAGATGGGGAAGAGCTGGGCCTGGCCCCCTTGTGTCCAGAAGGCACTAATCCTCAGGGCTCGTCCTGGCCTCTGTGGGATGGTGAGTGGGGTGCAGGGGGTCCACTGAGCCGGGGCCCCCCCAGGGCTTTGGGAAGAAGGAACTGGCAAGGGAGCATGGCAGGGCTGCGGGGGTGAGAGAGCGTGGGGCAGGGGTGAAAGAGTGTGGGGCGGGGGCAGAGGTGAGAAGCCACGGAGAAGTCAGTGTAGACAGCGAGTGTAGACAGTTCTCTTGGCAACTGGTTCTGAGATAGGGCCAAGCAGGGGCAGCTGGCAGCGACATGGGGTCGGTGAGGGAGGGCGCAGACTCTAGGGCACATCTGGACACTGACATGCGCCCAGCAGGGCCCATCCCAGAGCTGGGAGGTGGCAAGTGGCAGGGATGGGCAGGGGGCAGGAACCTGCTGGTGGAGGGGCGGGGGGTCCCGGAGAAGAGCAGGTGGACACAGCAGGTAGGGGAGCACCCACTCGGGGGTGTGGCCACAGCCACATGAGGCCAGGGCCTGGGGGCCCACGAAGCTGGCTCCACTGCGGCCGGCGGGCGGGCGGGCGGGCAGGGACTGGGTGAGCCCGAGGTCCCCTGTCCACCCTCCCTTTCTCGCCAGCTGACAACTACATTTCCCAGTCCCCTTGGCTAGGAGTGGTCATGTGAGCAAGCTCTGGCCACTGAGATGTGAGCAGCTGTGTCACACGGGCTTCTGGGAAAGCTCCTTAAAAGGAAAGGGGCTCGCCCCTCTTCTCTCTTCCCTCCTGTTTGCTGCCCAGAATGGGACTGTGATGGCTGGAGCCTCACCCTCCATCTGGATCCATGAGGATGGGGGCCTGGCCTAGGGATGGTGTAGCAGAGAGCTGGATGGAGCTGGTCTCCAAGGATTCCATGAAGGTGTCATAGCTGCCCAGGGCTGCCAATGGCCAGAATTCCCTCACACGAGAGAAAATGAACAATCTCCTTTCAACTTCTCTTCATTCCGATTTTCTCTTTCGTGCAGCCAAAGCCAACCCTAGCACATAGAAGGGACCACGGAGTGCCAGCCATAGGCTGGACACGGAGGGAGGGGAGGGGGCTCAGGGGGAGCTCTGCCTCTGGGGTCAGTGGTGCCTGGGCGCGAGACTGGGGGGCAGTGTGGGGAGGGGCGTCTCCCCGGGGAGGCCTTTGGGGCCTCACACTTGCACGGGCTATGCCCTGCTTAGAGAGAGAAGGCTCTTCCACATGATGGAAACTGCATGGGTGCAATTCTGGGATTGTCTGGGGCCAGGACTGGCCCTGGGAGCTTGGGGAGGGGCCATCCCGCAGTGCACTCAGATCCTGAGACTGACAGCCCCTCATGGCACTGACACCAAAGTGGGACGCTGGCGGTGGGGTAGGAACAAGGGGCCAGCAAGGACCCCGCTCACCTCTGCCTCCAGCTCAGGTCCAGGGAGCTGGGACCCTGAGTTGGACACAGGGACCCCAGGCTGAGAACTGGGCAGGCAGGGGTCCCCCAAGCCTAGTGGGAGCAGGGGTGGTGGGCCAGCCTGAGGGCCCCAGGAAGCAGCCAGAGGAGCCTGCACCCTCAAGCTCCGGCGGATCCTGAGCACCTGACGGAGCGCAAGCTGGGCTGGGCCGACCGGGCTCCTCCAGGAGGGAGCAGGGCACCGAGGTTGGGCCAGGGCAGGGGCTGCTCGCAGCAAGCCCTACAACCTCCAGGCCTCAGTTTCCCCTCATGTAATGCGCAGATAACCACAGCACGAATGCCACAGTGTGCTGGGAGGCTCAGATGGCCCGACCCAAGTCTATCCTGAAAGTGGCCGGCGCACAGTAGGTGTGCACGAAAGAGACTGGAGGGACCCAGAGGAGAGCCAGGGCACAGAGCCCCTCCCACAGCAGGGCCTGCACAGATGCCCAGAGTGGCCCTGAGTGCCCTGCGTGTGGCTCCAGCTCCAGCTGAGTCGAGGGAGCCCCGAGGTGGAGTAGAGTGCGTGGGGGGGGGTGCTTCTCCAGCATCCTGGCTTCACTTCCCCTCCCGCCACCCTGTCCTGTAGCCAGGGTTGATGTTGGAGGGTCCAGGTGTGGCCGCTGTTTCTGAGGGCCCTAGAAGACACCGTCTGTGTGGCCTTGTCAGTCAGGGCAGGACTGGGGTGGGGAGAGGGGGGAGCTGAGCTGGCCTGTGTCTGAAGGGGCTGCCCCTCCCTCCCTCTTCCTCCCCCTCACGGCCTCCCCCTGGAGGATGCTGATGGGGCAGGAAAGGGTGTGGGAGTGTGGGAGGCCCTGGTGGGTGTATCAGTACCTGGTCTCCCCTGTTCTCTCCCTCCTAGGGCTGGGAAGCCCTCGGATTGTCCCAGCCCGCCCAGTTGAGCTCAGCAAGGTGGGCTTAGGCGAGGCCGAGATCGGGAGACAGACAGGCTCCTTCGAGATCCCAACCGCCCGCGCTCTGCAGGTCTCTCCCCGCCCCCCAGCTCCTGGAAGTGGAGGCTGGGGCTTCTTGCTTGGCAGCCCCTTGCCCCCACCTCCAGCTAAGTCCACAGTGATGCTGATGATTTGATTTGACGCCAAGAGGCTTCTGGAAACTTCTGGAGTCTTCTGGGGCTCCTCTGTCAATTGCCTACACCCTGGAGGCTCAGGCCTCAGCGCTGAGACCAAGGTGTCCCCACCCACCTGCCCCCCCCTTAGACTCAGCGAGAGTGTGGCTGCCCAGGCCGGGAGAGTGTGGCCCTGGTGCTCACAACGCGGACGGGCTACTTATGGGGGAATTTCTGGCAGTGCCCGTGCCACACTGACGGGAGGAACCCGGTGACACCAGATGACACCGGGCCTGAGGGAGGCCAGCGGCCCAGGCAGTGGGGGCTGCAGCAGGGGACAGGGTGGTCGCACCTGCCTCTGCCCCCCCCACACACCCCCGCAGATGGCCCGGAGCTGCCCCTTTGAACTTTCTAGCCAGCAAGACAAGCCCACGTGGGGCACTGTCTTCCATGCCAGCCACCCACCACTGGGGTCGTCTCCTTCCAGCCCGGCCGCAGCGCTTGGTGGCAGGTGACTCGCGGGGACCGTCCCTCCGAGCAATCGGCTGGCCGAGGCCAGCGCCCCCTGCGAGCCGCCTCCCCACCCCACCCCCCGGGGCCTTGTCATCTCGGCCATCGCGCCGCCGCCTGTCGCTCCGGGAGCCGCGCCCAGACACGACCCGGCTCGTTCGAGGAACGGGGGCCGCGCCGGGCCGGACACAGGGCTCCCGCGGGCCGGACTCAGGCACCCTCGGGCAGGTCGCTCAGCCCGCCAGTCCCGGTTTCCCGCCCGGAAAGCGGCAGGAGCTGCCGGGTGGACGCGCCCAACGCGAGCGGAGCGACCCCCGCCCGGACTCAGGGGGAGTGGACGGCGGTGGAGGGGGTCGCCGCCGGCCAGAGCGGTGCCTCAGCCCCGATCCCGCGCCCGGCTCCGTCCCGCTGGGCTCCGCGCCCCCAAGGAGCCTCCTGAGGCCACAAGGAGCGAGTAAGGGGACGTCCCCGAGGCCACGGGGCTGGGGGTCAGGGGAGGCGGCGGCACGGGGACCAAGACTCTCGGACGGAGCCTCAGCCCGCTGGCGGGTGCCCTGCGACCACCCCGAGCGCATGGGGGGACCAAGTGCCATCGGACCAGGCGAGTTCGTCGAGGGACCCCGGGCGGCGGGGACGCCGGGGCCCGAGCCCCGCGCCGGGGCCAACACCCGGGGGCGCCTCGGCCGCGCCGACATCCCCACCAAAGGGCGCGGGTGGCGCGGGAGCCTGAGGGACGCGGGCGCGGCCTCCTGCGGTTTATTGATTGAGGGAAGTTCAGCAAAGTGCTTCCGAGCGGGCCAAGCCGCCCAATGCGGACAGTCGATTATAAATTTAAAACTCCTGTAGCGACCGGCCGCGCACGAGTCCTCGCCGGCCGCGCTCAGAGGTGCGGCGCGTAGAAGGCGGGCGCGCCGTAGGTCTGCGAGCCCAGCACGAAGGGCGACAGCACCGCCGGGCTCGACAGGAAGGGCAGCTGCGCCGCGCACACCAGGCCGCCGGGGCCGTGCGCCGGGTACGCGGCCGGGCCGTGCATGGCCAGCGGCGCGCCCATGGGCGGCGACGGGCTGAGCGGGCTGAGGCCGCCGGGCAGCCCCGCGCCCGGCCCCGCGCCCGGGCCCGGCCCCCCGCCGCCGCCGGTCGGCGCGCTGGTGTCGGCGCCTGGGTTCTGCTTCTTCCACTTGGTGCGGCGGTTCTGGAACCAGATCTTCACCTGCGTCTCGGTGAGGCTCAGCGACAGCGCCAGGTTGAGGCGCTCGCAGACCGACAGGTAGCGCGTCGCCTTGAACTTGTTCTCCAGCGCCACGAGCTGCTCGTAGGTGAAGGCGGTGCGCGCGCGCCTCGGCTTCCCGGACTTGGAGTCGGAGCCCGTGCGCTTCCGTTTGGGCTTCGTCGCCGCCGCCGCGCCCTGCGGGGTGGTCCCCGCGACCCCCGCCGCCGCCGAGGCCCCCGGCGGGCCCGGGGCTCCGGGCGAGTTCCCGCGGGGGCCGGTGGCCGCGGTCTCGTCCACGGCGCCGGGGGTCGCCTCGGCCTCGGCCGCGTCCGCACAGCCCGACCCGCGGGCCCCGAGGCCGCCGCCGCCTCCCCGCGCCTCCTCCGCGCCGCGCGCCGCCCCCGCCTCGGGCGCCGGGTCCTCGTCGTCGTCGTCGGGTGCCTCGTCCCCGCTGTCTGCGCTCGGGCTGCGGCCGCTGCTGTAGCCGTTGGCCTCGGCCTCGTCCGCCGGGTCGGGGTCGCCGGCGTCTGCGGGGGCACGGCACAGTTAGGACGCGCCCTGCGCTGGCGCTCGCCCGTCCCCTCCAGCGTTCCCGCTCCCCCGAAATGGCTCCCCGTCCCGCTTGTCGCTTCTCTTCGCTCACTTCCCTCCTCTTTCTGTGCTCGGCTCTTTCGTTTGCCCGCCCTCTTCGCTTCGTTCCCGCGCACCCGCCCGCCCGTCCCTCCGTTTTCTTCTCTTCAGAGGCCTCTCCTCCCTCGTCCCCGGGCCGCGCCTTCGGCGAGCGGGCCGGCCGGTGCCGCGGGTTCACAGCGGAGGGAAATCTCCGATCGATCCGCGGGGCAGATACAAACTTAATTAAACTCATTTTGTGTAACGTACAAACTAGTTAACGGCCATTTAATTTATTTGGGCGTATATTACCCTCCAATTATGGCAAGGCGCCGGGTCAGCCAATTACGGGGCATTTAAGAGTGGGCTGGGCCAGAGACCTGCGGTGGGGTTGGAGCCGGCACGGGGGAGCAGACTTCTGGGGACCAAAATCGGCCACCCTGGCCCCATCACTCCCTCAGGCCTCCGGGTCCTGGAACGTGGCCGCCCTCGGCCCCTCTGTTGAGGCCCCAGCAGGTCTGGGCTTGTCCTGGCGATGGGGTCCCGGCCTGAGCAGGAGGGGTTTGGAGCAGTGCTGAGCCTGGGTGGAAGTCCCGTGGCAGAGTCTGAGCTGCAGCCCTGCCCTCCAAGCAGAGGCCCCTTGGTGCTACATTTTGAGTCTCAGAAATTTGGAAGAAAGCATCTGTCTTGCGCAGGGCCTGGGGGCATCTGTGGGTCCTCCTCCCCCACAAGTGGTCACACAACCAAGGGAGAAGCCAGGGCAGGTGTCCTACACAGTTTCACCCAGTCGGGGACCAAGTCCCCGCTGTAGGGTCAGGTTGGCACCGAGAACCCAGGGAATAAACAAATTCAGTCCTGATAGATTCCTCCACGGCAACCACAGAGGTGGCATGGAGGCGGCGAGCAGGACAGGTGTCCTGGCCTCCCACCCACATCCCTTAGCAGGAGCAGGGGCTGTCCTCCAGGGGACCCCGAGACCACCGTGCCTCCCAGCCCCTGCCCTGTCCAGGGTGGGCTGAGGAGAGAGGAGGCCTGACCCTCCTTAAGTCAGCAGGAGACTGGGCCTTCCGCCTCGGGCAGCGCTCCATGCGGGTGGAGGCTTGGAGAGGAGACACTCGGAACCCGGACGGGCCAAAAGTGGGAAGGGTTTCCCCCGAGCCAGCCGGGATTTGCTCCTGCCGCTTCCTGGAGGAAACCGAGCTCAGGTGCCCAAGGCTGCCTTGCCCCGAGACAGCGGCCCAGCCCTGCCCCAGCCCTGGCTTCTGTCCCTGCGCCTCGGAGGGGCTGGGAAGTTGGAGGGAGGAAAGGCCGGGGGAGGGGGCACCAAAAGCAATCAGGAGCCGGTCGAATGCAATTCTCGATCAATAGCGGCCCCTAATAAGTGTAATAGGTTTTAATCGAGTAATTATCCGAATTTTGACCCTATAATTTAGATGTTCGGGGGGAGTTTGCAAGGTGCTTGAAAGAGATATGCATGCTGCCGTAATGGGATATCGACCCGGCCGGGGGCGCGGGCCGCCCCATTACCGGCCGCTTTCCGCGGCTAAGCACATTTCCCCTTAACTGTAATCGAAGGGATTTAATTGTTTTTCCAGAGATAACCAGCGTTTTGTCACAATTAGTCTGATTTGTCCAAAAAATAAATAAATAAAAAAGGAGGAAGGAGAGAAGAAGGCCTCGGTTGGTCGCGTGGGGGTGGGGAAGTCACCGGCCAGCCACCGCGCACGTCCCCTCCTCGGCACCGACTACCCTCCAAGGCCGGAAACGCGCTGTGGGGAAACCTGGGCCGGCTCTGCAGCCCCGCAGCCCTGGGCCCGGCCCGGCGGAGCCATCCTGGGAGGCGTGTGGCGGTGCGGCCCCGGAGTCCGGGTCAGACGGAGGCCGCGGGCGGGCCGGTGCCGGCCCCGCGCGCTGCGAACTTTCCACCGAGCCTTGGCGCCCGGCTGGCCAGGCTCGCCCAGGGGTCCCCGGGGCGTAAACGCGCAGACACGGCCCGTCCCCTGCCCCTGCGACCCGGAGCCGGCCGCGTCCTACTCACGCGGCGGCTCAGCTCCGGTGGCGGCTCCAGCTCCTCCGGCGGCGGCGAGGGCGCGGCGCTCCAGCTCTTCCGCGCGCGGCGGGCGTCCTGGGGCGGCAGGGGCCGGGGCGCACGGGGCGCACGCGGCGGGCGCCACGGGGCCCAGCAGCACACAGCGGCGTCTTCTGCTGTTGAACTTGTTGGGGTCCAGGATGTCCAGCACCGAGAAAGAGGTGGGGCGCGGCGGTGGGCCCGGCCGGGCCGCACCAGCCCCCTCGGGCGCCGCGGGCACTGTGTCGCTGGCGGCGAGCGGCGGGGCTCCGGCCCGGGGAAAGGCGGGCAGCTCGGCGCGCCCGTCCATGGCGTCCCGGGCGGCGGCGGCGGGCGCAGGCGGTGCGGGCCCCGGACCGGGCCCGGGCGGCGGCGGCGGCAGCGCGGGGCCGTCCCCGGGAGCCACCGGGCCGCTCGCGCTCATGCCGGCGTCCCGCCGCTCCGGCCGCTCGGGCCCCGCCGGCTACTGGTCTCCCATCCCCGGCGGCCCGGGAGCCGCCGCACGGTCTCGCGCAGACGGCCGCCGCTCCGCTCGCTCTCCGTGCCGCGCCCTGCGCTTGGCCGGTGCTGCCTGGCGCTGCCTCCGCCGCCGCCTCAGGCGCCCGCCGCGCCCGGCCCGCGCATTTATGGCGACCCTGCCGGCGGCGCCCACGCGCCCACACGCCGCACACACGTGCGCCCGCAGGCGGCCGCGGGGCTCCGCCGCCCTCGTTAGCGCGCGCGCCTAATTGGCTGCGAACGGTCCCGGGTGGAGGAGGCGGGCCCCGCGCGGGACACACGGACGGAGCCCCGGGCCCGACCGACAGACGCGCAGCCCGGAGGCAGCGTGCGGCCCGCGGGTGACAGTCGCGGTCAGCGGCGTGTCGCTGCGCCTCTGCTCATCCGGAAACGGCGTGCCTGCCTCCTGGGCGAAGGGGGAGGAGACAGCCCGGCTTTTAAATAATTGCGGGATCAATCGGCCGAGGGGCCCGGGGAGGCGCCGGGGCGCGCGGGAGGGCGAGCGCCAGGAGTTGGCTGGGACATCCTGGCGCAGGACGCGGCGCGGCCGGCCTCTCCTCCGGCTCCCGGCGCGGGGCCCTGGCGCTCTGGCGGCTGCTGTGGCTCCGGCGCCCCTCGGGGCGGCTGGGGCGGGGATGGGGTCCTCGCGGCCACTCTCGGGTCTTCGCCGCGCCTTCAACCCCCTCCCACGCGTTCCGTGGATCTCGGTCCCTCCTCTCTCGGTCGCTGGCTCGGGGTTTGGCCTCGCGTCTGGAGGTCTCGCCTGCTCAGAGTCTCTGCCCCTCCAGCCCCTCCCGCTCCCGCCTCCTTCGTGGCGTCAAATTAGGGCCCGGCCTCGTGTCCCCGCGCCGGGCGGCGCTGCCGCCCCCGGGATCGCTCATTAGAAGTGGAATCGAAAATGAGGAAGGCTGGCCGGCCCCCCCCCCCCCCCCCGGCCTCCCAAAATGGGGATCTAAAAATCGTACAAATGGCACGCGGCCTACGCAAAAATCGATACCCTTCAACTAAGGGGAAACGTTACGGCAAACTCCCCTTCCTGGCGCCCCGAGAAGGAAGCCCTCCGTCCGGGTCTCTATTTGTGCACAGTTATGTACCGCGGCGAGGGTTGCCCCGCAGGCCCGGCGGCCCTCGGGAGGGACGGGCCGTGGTCGGGCGTCCGAGCGAGCGCGGCGGCGCCCTCCTCCCTCCTCCCTCTGCGCGCGCTCAGGAGCACACCCACCGCTGGTGGGACCCAGGTGGGAGCCGGCGGTGGAGCGCGCGTGCGAGTGTCTTCGGGGTGTGCGGCTGTGTGTGACGGGTGTGAGCGTGCGCGCGGGCGTGTGCACGAGCGGTGTGCGTGCCGCCTCACTCTGCGGTCCCCGGAGCCTGCTCCACGCACAAGGACGGGTCCTTTGCAATTACCGCGGGCAATGATCCTTTGGAAGCAGAAATTAAAAGTTGGGAGAAATAATGGGGGACCGATCGGCTGCAATTTGGGCCAAGCTCGGACATGCTGAGCCTCAGGGAGGCTGGGACTGGGGGGAGGCAAGGCCTCCCCTCCCCCAACCCGCCCCTCCCTCGCGCGCTGGTCCATCCCGAGATTCTAATCAGACCCACAACACTGTGTCCTTCCTGGCCAGGACTTGATTATTCTTTATCTTTAAATTATAAATCACCTCCGGGGGAAGGAGGGTGGGTAATCTCTCATCACAGGGAGGTAATTATCTCCTTCCCGCCCCCACCCTCCTGCTGGGACTCTCGAGCTCTCTCCACCTCTCCCCCAGCTAAGTTTGAATATAGATGTGCACACGCCTTTCACACACATACACACACACATTCATTCACTGGCACGCACCATACACAAGCGCAAATTCATTCATGAGCACCCAGGCACACCACCGCAAATGCACCCACATCCCTGCAGCCAGCCTCACCCTCTGCCCGCCAGCCTAGCACTGGTCTTGGTGCCCCTTTAACTCTTTCCTGAGGAGGGGGATACAGGCCCCCTGGCCATGGCCCTGAGCTGCCCCACTGCTCCCACAGGAGGCACCACCACCGGGCACCCTGGGTAGCAGGTCCCAAGTGCAGACCTCTGACCCGGCTCTGGGTGGTCGAGTCTCAGCCTGACACAGAGCATCACAACGCCCTCAAGCGCACACTCACACTCCATGCCACAAAGCGTCTGTCTCTACCACAGGTCACCAAGCGAGGCGCAAACCCTACAGCCACAACCCCCACAGCCTACGGTGTGGGCGGGGCGGGCACGGGTCTGCTCTCACCCCTGTTAGACACACTAGACACCTGCAGGTGAGGAAGAGAAATGTGAGCCCTCTTGGTAGAATTTTCATTCAACACGAACACAAACACACACAAAATGACGTTTTATATAATGCAGATGTCATACAATGTTTGGCGAGCCTCTCTGAATACAGTAAGCAGAATACAGCACGCTGAATATGATACGTAATGAGCATAATGAAGCAATGCATCATAGTATACAGCCCCTCGGTGTTCTCCCCCCAAACACACACGCACACACACTCAGCAGTCAGAATGCTCTCCCTGCTGAGAGGCGGGGGCTGGTTCAGGGCTGGGTGCTACTTGGATGAAAGAAAGTGCTCTGACTGTCCTGGAGTTTGGAAGTGTCAAGAACCCCTCCCTGGTGCTTCCCTCCCCTCTCTTCCGCACCCCCCAACGATCTAATAGGAGCTGCCACAGGCAGGGTAATGAGCTGCAAAGCCCGCAGTCCAGACCAGGGGCATAGGGGTGGGACAGCGGTGTGAGGAGGACCTCCAGAGCTGCATAGGGCACTTTGGGTCACTTTCCCATGAGAAAGGGGGTGCTGTGTGTAGACAAGGATCAGGGAGATCGTCATATCCTCTCCTGTCCGTCCTCTCCCATCCCCCATCTCTAAGGAACAACTGGAGTTATAGAGATGCTCAGCACCCCTCCTCCTCTCCTAGATACCCAGAAACAACCCTCCCCTCCCCCCAAGTTCAACCCAGAGCGTCTGCAGCTATAAAGACGTCCTTTCACTCCTAATCACAATTGATTGTCAATTAGACCCTCATTTGTGCAATCTTTGCCCATCTGCCATATCGGGTTATCTCCAAGCCACCAGCTTCACTTGCGGGGCCCCAGGTGGGCACTGACAGGTGAAATCAGTGCCTGAGAGGGATGCCTTTGCCTACCCAGTGGAGGAAACACCCCTTCATTGCTAAGCCCCCACCACTCACTGCACATCAGTCAGGACCAGATGGGGTCACTGGCGAGCTGGGGGGGAGTCAAGGCAGGAAGCGACATGGGACGAGGGTAGAAATCTGGGGGAGGGACTGGTGGTAAAATGTCTTAGAAGTGGATCCAGGAAAAGGAGTGGATGAGGGCTGAGACTGTGCAAAGAGGGAGGGGAGGTGTTTGAGGGAGAGGGCTGGGGAGAGCTGAGTGCCCAGCCCTTTCAATCCATGCCCTGTATGCTCTCCCCAGCATCAGAGTTTAGGGAAGTTTTGGGGGACTAGAGCAGGAGGGACATCCCACCATCTCTGCCACTAACTCACCATGTGCTTCCAAACCCTCCTCAATGTTGTCATCTGTCAATCGTGAGGGTTGGATTCCGTGTGACCTCTAAGGTCCCTATATCCTCCCCTCAATGGTCCAATGACAACAAGATCACAGCCTTCGTTGTAAATGGTGAGGAGGGGAGTTCTCTTCCCCTCTTGCACCTGGAGAGCTTTACTGGACAGGCTGGAAGGGCAGCAGTGTTCAGTGGTCTCCAGGGGCATATGGATAAATAACCCCCTTATGTTATACATATGTATATATGTTATATACAAATATAACATTTGTATAATGTTTGCTTCATGCAAAGCACACGCTAACCCAGACCACCCAGGGTCCTGCCAATATCGTTGCGAAATATATAGGATATGGATTGCCATCCCCGTCTACAAATTAGTGCTTGGACTCCTTGAGTCCAGACTGGGTCCTGCTGCTGACATCGTGCTGTCTCTGAATGGGCCACCTTCCTGTGCACCTGTGGAAAGGATGCAGGAGGTAGAGGCGGAGCATAGCGATGGAGATTCCTATGCTCTCTCCTCTTGCCTCTCCACCCTCTCCGCTCGATGACAAACTCTCTTGCTCACCCAGAGTTTGGAAAATGAGTGGGGAACTTTCTGCTTATTGTTTTTTTTCATTCATTTTCTCTAAGGCATCTCTCCCCTGGGGTCTCCTGACTCTACGAGAAAGGGCACCCCACATTCAGAACTGGAGAAGAGAAGAAGTACGGGCTGCTGACTACCCGGAGCGCTACAGCTCTGGGAAGGCGAGGGCCTCAGCCTCGCGCGGTCCCGGCGCCAGGGCATCTTCAGAACCACGGACAGCGCCAGCGCAGGGCGTCCCTTCAGGACCACGGACAGCGCCCCGCCGGCACTCCCCGCAGCGCGCTTGCGCGCCTCCTCCCCTCGTTCAGGACCGCGGACAGCTCCACAGACCCTGACGGGCTCTGCAAGCCAGGGCATCAACCCGCTGTTTCTCACGCCTGTGTCCCGTTCTCGGCTCCCTTCCCCAAACCCTGGGATACCCCGGAGGAGGAAGAGGGCGACAGGCTTTGTGCGTGGTGTGGAGTTCTGGGACAGAATATGCTACATCCTGGATGAGAAGGCAGCCAATTCACCACAGCCAAACCAGGACCCACCAAAGGGCAGGGGATCTTTACAGGGTTTTTCACTGCCTGGGTTTGGGTTTGAATTCTCCTATTTGTAAACTGCATGAGTTCAGAGATGAAAAGCAAGTAGCGCTGGGGCAGGGTCATGGCAAAGGTTCATTCAGATGTAAAGGTGAGGTTTCAATCCTTTAAAACAAAAAAGTCAAAACTGGAACAACTGGGAGTGGCTCTCAGGCTATGAGGGGCCCAGGGTGCTGTGTAGAGAGAAGGGGTACCTGACTCCCACATCAGGGCTGCAGAGGTGGCAGCCAGGTCCCACTGTCAGCTTCGGAGGGGCCAAAGGGTTTTCTGACTAGAGGCCAGGAAGGAGTGGGGATCACCACCTTGCAGATGAGTAAACTCAGGCTGGAGAGGATCGATAACATGCTCAAGGTCATCC